TGACAAAAGAAGTTTCCTCCGATTATTTTTTTTTTTGTTAAAAGTTAGTCTTAATATATCAATTTTTTTTTGAGAAAATTGTTTTATTATATCATTGTAACAATCTCCCTTAAGATTTTTTTTTTTTAAATGTTGCATTGCCATTAAGGTACATGAATTCCGAAAGATCGTTTTATTAAAAATGATAATATTGATATTTTTCAACTAAGATCCAAGAGTGTTAAAAATTTGGCGAACGTAAATCTCTATAAGAAATAAACTATGACATCAATGGTATACATTTATCAATCATGAATTTATATGTGATGTTTGATAAAATTATTCTAAATGATTTCTAGGTTTTTTATAAAATTATTCACGTGAATTTTTTTTCTTTTCTTATATAACTCTACAATATTTAAATTGTTTTTTGCGATACATAGTTAATATATATTCATAATGGTCGGGTCCACATGTTATGAATTAAGACATGCAAAATAAGATATAAATTGATATCTAGAATGATTAAAATATGTGTTTAAGTACTATTTCAAAATATTTTGGTAATTCAACGGGCTACCAATAGAAACTTGAAATTTCTAGCAATAATTTTTAATGTGTTTATCCGTTATCAACGCGTGTCCTAATCTAGTTTATAATAAATGTAAAGATTTTTCTAACGATTTGTACATCAATAGAATACACAGTTTTTGTGTTTGTCAATTTTAAACTTTAAAAGGAGTTTTGATCTCTATCAAACCTAAACCCTAACATAATATAGTTAACATAATGATATGTTGAGTAAATGATATAATTTTAGTAATTTTTTTAAAGATTTTAGAAAGATAATATTTTTAAATCATGAACTTTAAAAAATGGAATTTTTCAAAAGTTCTGTAGAATATGAAAACACAAAGCTTTCCTCCTCAAAACAAATAAAAAATAATCAGAAGAATTTTCTATTATTATTATTTTTTTTTTGACAAAAGAAGTTTCCTCCGATTTTTTTTTTTTGTTAAAAGTTGGTCGTAATATATCAATTTTTTTTTTGAGAAAATTGTTTTATTATATCATTGTAGCAATCTCCCTTTTTTTTTTTTTTTTAAAACGTTGCATTGCCATTAAGGATATATGAATTTTGCAAGATCGTTTTATTAAAAAAGGTATGTATCCAGAAAAAAGGAAAGTTGATGTTTCAGGGTCAAAATGGATTTGGATATTTACGAAATCAGGCAGTAAATTGAGCTTTAAAACGATCGTCTTTTGCGACC